GCCGCGTTGTTCGCTGCCTGGAGGAAGGCCTCACACCTGGTTGTTCGCTGCCTGGAGGAAGGCCTCACACCAGCATTGTTCATTGTTCGCTGCCTGGAGGAAGGCCTCACACCTGCGTTGTTCGCTGCCTGGAGGAAGGCCTACAGGACAGTTTCTCAGCTTTCCTGTTTTTCCTTCTGAACAAATCTGAGGAAGCAGATTCAGTACCAGAGGGAAGTGGGGGGTCGGGGGGGCGGCAAGGCTCAACCTGGACTCTTGGAGTCTCCACAGACCTGTCCCTGTCACGCTGGCCCCAGGCCCAGCTGCTCTCCAGTGGCTGTTGTGGCTGTCTTTCACCCCGGTGGTGGTCACTTGGGCCCCGCTCCTCCCGATGCATCCTCCCCCAGGGTGGCCAGCAGTGTGTGTGTTGGTGCCCAGAAAGCAGGAGCTGGGATGCCATAAAAATGCCCACAGCTGCCTGGGGCTGGGCCAAGAGGTGCCCGGCACCATTGTCCTCGGTGGGAGCTGCTGGACCTGTTGCTCAGAGGAATTGGAGGCTCCAGCCCAGCCCCACAGCTAATAGGGACCGAGCAGGACTGGACCCTGGGCTCTGAGCCCACACTGCTGCTTAGCCCCATGTGTGGGCAGCGGCAGGTGGTTGGGAGGCTGGGGTCCTGGGGGGGAGTGGCTGGACCCCAGCTGTCAGCCCTCCCTGGCGGCCTGTCGATGGAAGGCCACAGGGGTGTCCAGCCGCCGGCAATGGGTCCTCCTCTAGGGGCAGTAGACCAAGAAGCCCTGGCCCCCCGGCCGTCCTGCCCCGGCTCAGCAGTGCGCCCCAGGGGCTCAGCTGTCAAGGTCAAGGTTCCTGAGCCTTTGCGTGGGTCCAGGTGCCCCCCACGGCAGCTCAGCGCCCTCTGCTGGCTGCTCATGGAGGCTGGAGTTTGCCAGGGCAGGGGGTGGGGAGGGAGGGAGCGCCCAGCTGGTCCTCCGCTAGCACCCGTGGGATTCCCAGCATTGGGAGCTGGGATGGAGAAAGTGTCCCCAGCTCACGCCATGCCACCAAAGACGCTGGAATCATCACTTGACAGCTGGGCAGAGAGGTTGAAGACGACAGGGACCTGAAGCCCTCGATTAAAGTTCCAGGCCCACCAGGCATCTAGGTGTGGGGGGGCGGTCTCTGCTGGTGGGGCCAGAGGCTGATTCGCTCAAGGCCCAGGCTGGCCCCTCCCTGGTTGGCCCTGGTCCAGTCGGAACTTCCCACCAGCCCACGGTATAGCCGGTGACAGAAGGACAGTGTGGGTGTGAGGACGGGTGTGCGGGCCGCCTGGCCTTGCGCCGAGGTTGAAACGTCGCTAGACATGAGGGCGAGATGAGACGGGAGTTTAAAAAATAACTTGACTCATCGAAATAAAGGCGCGGTCATCGTATGTCCCCTGCGTTTGTAAATTTACTCTTACGGGTCGGTGAGATGCACAGGTCTGGGAGCCGCTGGCGTCAGCGGTGGGAGGGGAGGGCTCTGCGTGGGATAGTCTGTAGGGCTAGGGGGCGGGGCGTGGGTGGGGCCTCGTCCTCAGTGGGGCTCTGGGCGGGGCGTGGGTGGGGCCTTGGCCTCAGTGGGGCTCTGGGTGGGGCGTGGGTGGGGCCTCGTCCTCAGTGGGGCTCTGGGCGGGGCGTGGGTGGGGCCTTGTCCTCAGTGGGGCTCTGGGTGGGCGCCTCCCTGTCGCGGTGGTGCCGCTCCAGTGCCACCCTCTTCCCCGCAGGGCCGGCTCCCGGGCCTCAGGGTCAGGTATGTCCTCTTGGTCTGGCTGGGCATCCTGGGAGGCAGCTGGATGATGTACCTGCACTACTCATCCTACTCGGAGCTCTGCCGCGGCCACATCTGCCGCTTGGTCATTGTAAGTGTGTCGTTGGGACTGCCGCCTCCCGGGCTCCCCACGGGGCGGGGCTGCGTGGCCAGTGCGGGCGGGGGGCCCCCTGTTCACCAGACCCTGGAGCCTCCTTCCCAGTCGCCCCACGCCTCCTCCTCACCAGGAGGTGGGCTGCTGAGTGTCATAGTGTCCTGGGGCTGACGTAACAAGATACCACACAGCGGGTGGCTCTGAAGAGCAGACATTTATCTTCTCACAGGTCTGGAGACTGATTCTCTCTGTGGGCCCTGGGGGAGGATCCTTCCTCCGCTCCTCCAGCTTCTGTAGCCCTGGGCGTTTCTGGGCTCTTAGCGGGATCCTTGCGTGCCGGCTTCCCCTCTCGTGTGATGCCACCCAGAAAGGATTAACTTAGGACCCACCCTACCCCGTAGGGCCTCATTTGACAATTTAACCATCTGCGAAGAAAAACCTCGTTTCCCCAAATCAGGTCACTTTCACCGGAGAGGGTGTAGGGACTTAGCCGTTTGGGAGACGTAGTCCAGTCCCTAACACTGAGAATGTGGCTGGCTGTGACTGGGGACAGGCTTGGGGGTGCTGGGCACGCGGGCTGTGGGCCACTTGAAGATTTGGGTCTTGGCCCTAAGAGGCAGGAGCATGGCATGGGTGAGTTTTAGAATGGAATCCGGTTTGCACAAAGTGTGGAGGATTGGGAAATTATGGCAGGAGGTGGGGGGACCGTTGGGGGCTGCTGCAGGTGCCCAGGAGACAATGGGTGGGCTCGGGCCGGCTGGTGGCTGTGGGTGGACAGACGGGCGATTGCAGGTGTGATCTTGGGGGTGCGGGCCATAACGACCCTCTGTCCTGCCCAGTCTCTCTGTCCCCCACCCTTTGGGCCGTTGGCAGAAGGGAGGCCTGGGCGGATAGGTGCCCTCGGAGGCCAGTGACCAGGGCTGTGATGCCCCCCCCGCCCCAGGAACAGAGACCTTGGAGGCCTAGGAGGCAAGTGAGCAGGGAGGTTCTCTGACACAGCAGCCTCACGCAGCAGTGAGGTCTCAATGTGGGAGAACTTGGGCCCTGGGGCCACAGAGGCCTGTGTCCGCGCCGCCACATGCTAGCTGATGGCCTCGCACGGCCCCTCCCCAGGGGTGGATGTGCACCTGCAGCCTTGGGACTGGACGGCTTGGGCGTGGGTACCCGCCTCTCAGCCAGCCTGGGGCTTGCCAGCCTTGGGGAGTTGTGTCTGAGGGCCATCTTTGGAGAAGTCCAGAGGCAGCAGTGGGGAGTGGGCGGGTTCGGAGTGGGGACACTGCTAGTGGCAAGCCACTGTGATGGGACTTGCGGGGTGCTGGCTTGACCTCAAGAGGCCTCTCTGCATGGGACATGGGGTCAGGGGGAGGGAGGGTGGACACAGGCAGGTTGTCCGGTGTTGGCGACGCTCTGACTGGGGCCAGGCCAGCTCGGGCAGAAGGCCCAGCCATGCTCAGGAGCTCATTCGTTCTTGAAGTTCTAGAAGTGTCTACTGGTGGCCTCCAGGGGCTGGGACTGGGCTGGGTGCCAGGGATGTGCCTCTGCTCTCACACCCAGGGCCACTGGTGACACTCAAGGGGCGCCAGTGGGAGCTGTTTGCCCGGAAGGGGGACTGTCAGGGGGTGGCGGGGGTGCTTCAGGCAAAGGAGGGGGAGGGCAGGGCTGGAGTGGTTCATGGTGGGTGGAGGGGCCAGGTGTGGCTACGTGGCAGATCTGAGGGCCGCGGGGAGCGGGTGAGGGTTGTAGAGGGCAGGCAAGGCCTTGGGCAGATGCACCGTTGGAAGGATGGCGATGGGTGGGCAGCAAGGCCCGGAGGAGGCTGTTGCCCTGGTCCAGGTGAGGGGTGGGTGTCTGGGCAGAGGGGTGGGAGTGAGCAGGTAACCAGAACGTAGGCAAGTGTTTTCTGAGCGCCTACTGTATGCCAGTGACACCCCCTTCCCCCCACTGCCAAACAAAGGAACTTGTGACTTCCGTTTCTCAGGGAGTCTTGTCCTGCTCCCCACCCTGGTTCCAGTGCTGCCTCAGGGCCTTCCTGGGGCCCTAAGCTTGGCTCTCCCAACGTGGTGTCTGGGGGACCCTGGGAAAATCCCCTCCGGGCGAGCCCCCACCCGCTCTGTCTGCGGGCACAGCCCGGTCTTCTGAGGCACCGACTGTGGCTCAGAGGCCAGTGGCCTGTCTGAGGCCACAGTGAGGGGGAAGGTTCTAGAAGGTCGTTGCTCAGCCGGGGGCTGTATGTCGAATTCCCACAGTAGCCCATGCTGCAGATGGGGATACTGAGGCTGGGAGAAGAGGTGAAGTGACCTGCCCTCTTCCCAGTCCCAGATGTGCAGCGGAGGTGCCCGAGGGGCAGTCGGGACGCCCCCTCCCGCAAATCGCAGTCCCAAACGCAGGTGGTGGTGCTTGGCCTGAGGGCCCCGGAGCCCTGGAAGCAGTATGTGAGGACCCGCACCGGGAGCTGACCTCTGGGCACCGCGCCCCTCGCTGGCCTGTGGGCTTTGGGTCATGGAGGCAGCAGTCTTGTGGTTGCAGTGCAGGTTTGGGGGGTGTCAGGGCAGACCCCACGGGGGAGCAACTACGTCGTTGTTTTTCTCTTGTCTTGGTGCTGGGGGGGGCGTGTCACGCTGCCACAGGACATATGGCTCCTTCAGTGCACAGTGCAAGGTGAGGCCCTTGTGTTCTTGTCCCTCACCGCTGTCCCTGCCTCTCCCCGTCCCCTGCCCCACCTCAGAGGGCGCCATGTTCTGGGCCCTCCCTCCCCACTCCTTCCTCCATGGGGCCAGGAATTCACCCCCACTTGCTCCGTCACCTCCAGCTCTGCCTTCCTGCTCAGGTCGAGGTTCTCCTGCCAGACTTCTGGGATTCTGGGAGCTGCAGGGCCCTGTACAGAGCTGGGGAGGGGCCGAGGCGGGGACGCAGTGGACCCCTGGGATTCCAGGAGCTGCAGGGCCCTGTACAGAGCTGGGGAGGGGCCGAGGCGGGGACGCAGTGGACCCCTGGGATTCCAGGAGCTGCAGGGCCCTGTACAGAGCTGGGGAGGGGCCGAGGCGAGGAGACAGTGGCTCTCCGGGCATCTGGCTGATGGCAGGGAGGCTGGGCTGGGCTTCACTGTGGGTAGAGAAGCTCCCATCTACCGACGAGGGACTGAGTCTGGGGGTGCACAGAGATGTGCTCAGAAATCAGCTGGGGCTCAGTCTCCTCAGCTGACCAAGGCTGGGCTTGGGAGGCTGCTTGGTCTTGGGGCCCGTCCGCTCTGGGGCACTGCCTCCGAGGCTGGGGTCTCACCTGCAAGACTGTGTACGGAAGACCCCCGCTGACCAGGCAGTGCTGGGGGGTCCCAGGGACTGACGGGTGGGAGAGCTCGGCCTGTGTGCCCCACCAGCCACACCCATCAGCTGCCCTGGGACACACCCCTGGGAGGATGGATGGGCAGGGTCTCCAGGCACAGCTTGGAGGGCCACACGGGACCCAAACCAGGGGGCCAGGCAGGGCCCTGCTGCCCCAACCGCCCCGACCAGGGAAAGTGTTGTCTTCCTGGCGGCCACCATGCTAAGTGCAGCTGCACCTGACCCTCACCTGGTCACACCGTGATCCAGGTGTCCCTCTTCTCCGCCAACGAGGGAAGGCTGAGAAAGTGGGGTGACCTGCCCCTGGGCCCAGATCATAGGTGGGAAGGCAGGCAGATGGTAAGCATGGGACAGCTGCCCTCCCAGGTGGTGAGGACGTGTGTGGGCTTGGCGACTACTTCTTGGCTGAGGCCCAGCAGTTCCCCGAGGCATCTCCCACTGAAGGCCCCCGGAGGACAGGCCTCCCCAGCACAGCCCAGGCCTGGCACATCCTCCTGCTCTCGCGTGTCTAGTGGGTGACTCCGAGCTGTCTGCAAACCTGGAAACTACTCAGCCGTGGCTGAGCCCGCTACACCGCCTGGTGTCGGCAGCCTCAGCGTCTCCACTGCTCCCAGCCTGCCGGGCCCCCTGCGAGGGCATGACAGGCTGGGTGGATGCTTGCAGGATGAGCAAGGGTGAAGGCGCAGCCTCTGCCACCGGCGTGGTTCTGAGGAGCCGCACAGTCCTCCGTCATCATAAAGGGGGTGATAGGGACCCGCCTCCACCTTGGGCGAGGTCAGGCACACGGTGAGCGCCCAGCAGTGCGGTGAGCGCCCAGCAGTGCGCCGGTGGTGAAGACGGAGACCTGGGGCGGGAGGGAGACCTGGAGACCTGGCGTGGGAGGGAGACCTGGGGAGGGAGGGAGACCTGGGTGGGAGGAGCTGGGTGGGGCAGGGCCGAGGCTCTCTGGCAGCCGCCTCATCTACCTCAGCAGCCCCTGGGGTGCAGCTGGCTGTGCTCACCAGGGGAGGTGCGCTGGAGTGACTGGTCACCTGGGAGGAGTGGGAGGACACCCGGGGCTCCCTGGAGGAGTGGGTGCCAGTGGACTGCACCTGCGGGCAGCCAGGGGAGGGCTATGGGGGAGGGGCTCGTTGGGGGCGGGTGGGGCGTGTGACGCCTGCACCCCTGCCAGCCCAGCCACCCCTGGCGTCTCCCCAGTGCGACCAGTACCACAAGGGCATCATCTCGGGCTCCATCTGCCAGGACCTGTGTGATCTGCACACAGTGGAGTGGAGGACCTGCCTGTCTGTGGCCCCCGGGCAGCAGGTGAGTGGGCTGGGGGTGCAGGCTGGGTGCCCTGCCCTCAGGCCCTCCACAGGGGCCCCAGCCCAGCGGTAGAGGGGCCGGGAGACATTTCCTCCCTCCCTCCCTGCCACCCATCTGCATCTGGGGACCCAGGGCTTCCTTTGAGAGGCGCTCGCACTGGCCCAGCCCACGGGTCCCTTCTGCTTAGACCCGGAGGAGCCGCGGGAGGGAGGGCAGTTCCGCAGTCTGCCCGGAGCCGTCCGTCTGGCTCTGTCCAGGTGTACAGCGGGCTCTGGCAGGACAAGGAGGTGATCATCAAATGTGGCATTGAGGAGGCCCTGGGCGCCAAGGCCCGGCCGGACGTGGCCCCCCGGCGGGAGCTGGTGCTGTTTGACAAGCCCCCCCGGGGCACCTCGATGAAGGAGTTCCGGGAGATGACCCTTGGCTTCCTCAAGGTCAGCCTGCTGTCCTGACGGGGACTTGTGTACTGTGGGGCCAGCCTGCCACCAAGGCTCCCCAGGCCTGGGCCCAAGAGTGGGGACGGGCAGGAGATGGGAGCAGAGTTGGGGGGATGAAGAGATGCCCCTTCCCCCAGGCACACCAGGGGCAGCACCACCGCCCTCTGCCGATTCCAGTCTCTCCTCCCGGGCACAGGGCAGCTCTGTGCGGAGCGCCCACACCCAGGGGACAGAGACACCAAGCTCCGAGGAGCCCCTCATGGAAGTGTGGGGAGGAGGGGGCAGGCCCCATAAGGCCCCCAGGAGGTGGCGCGGCCGGACAGGCCAGGACACACGCCAGGGGCAGGACTGAGGCCGAGACTTAGGACTCAAGGTCCCTGGCGGAGGCGGGCGGTCGGGCCTGTGGGACCACGGGTGTGCCGTGGATCCGGCTCCGTGGGTTCCGCACGACGCGTCTCCCTCTCTGTGGCCCCGTGCAGGCGACCCTGGGAGACCTGCCGTCCCTGCCCGCGCTGGTGGGGCAGGTCCTCGCCATGGCCGACTTCAACAAGGACAGCCGGGTGTCGCTGGCCGAGGCCAAGTCGGTGTGGGCCCTGCTGCAGCGCACCGAGTTCCTGCTGCTGCTGGCCTTGCAGGGGAAGGAGCACACGGCGCGGCTGCTGGGCCACTGCGGGGACCTGTACCTCACCGAAGGCCGCCCGCACAGCTCCGCCCACGGCACCGCGCTGCCCGCCCCGCTGCGGCCCCTGCTGCCCGCCGCCCTGCTCCGCGCCCTGCAGCAGTGGGTGGGCCCCGCGTGGCCCTGGCGGGCCAAGGTCGCCGTCGGCCTGCTGGAGTTCGTGGAGGAGCTCTTCCACGGCGCCTACGGGACCTTCTACATGTGCGAGACCACGCTGGCCAACGTGGGCTACACGGCCAGCTACAGCTTCAAGATGGCCGACCTGCAGCAGGTGGCGCCCGAGGCGGCCGTGCGACGCTTCCTGCAGGGCCGCCGCTGTGAGCGCAGCCAGGACTGCACCTACGGGCACGACTGCCGGGCGCCCTGCGACCGCCTCATGCGGCAGTGCAAGGGTGACCTCATCCAGCCCAACCTGGCCAAGGTGTGCGAGCTGTTGCGGGGCTACCTGCTGCCCGGCGCGCCCGCCGCCCTCCGCCCGGAGCTGGGCCGGCAGCTGCGCACCTGCACCACCCTGAGCGGGCTGGCCAGCCAGGTGGAGGCGCACCACGCGCTGGTGCTCAGCCACCTGAAGACGCTGCTGTGGAAGGAGATCTCCCACACCAAGTACTCCTAGCGCCCGGGCCTGTGGGGGGCCGGGACCCCACACAGCCGTCTGCCGCTGGGCCTCCCTCCTGGCACCCCCCACCCTTCCATACCCTAGCCTGTCAGATGACAGCCTTCTGGTCCCCTGCCACCAAGCAAATGACAGGGCTACGGGAGAGGGGTCATAGGAGTGGGAGGGGGTCAGAGGAGGTCACAGGAGGGGGCTGCAGGAGCTTGGGGGAATCACAGGAGTTTGGGGGGTCACAGGAGTGAGGGGAGCCACAGGAGCCAGGGGGGCTACAGAGGGGGGTCACAGGAGTTTGGGGAGTCACAGGAGCCAGGGGTGGGGGGACAGGCCCCCTGGCTGCAGTGGTCTCTGTGGCTCCAGCCCAGCCAAGGCCCTGGGCAGTGTGGTGCAGAGACGGTTTCCACGGGAGCCTCTGCAGGCAGCCCTCTTTCTCCACGGGAGATGCTGCGGGTGACCCCATCACAGCCATCCCCCAGCTGAGGGCCCTCAGACTGCAATAGCCCATGGGCTATGAGGGGGTCCCAGCTCCAATGGGGAAGGGCAGGAAGGAGAAAGGATTGGGACCGAGGGGACCCTCAGGTGGCATGGGCTGTTATTGTGAAGAATGTGATGTAAATAAATAGCTTTCATGTGATGCCTGGGTCTTTTGGGGCACCTCTTGATATGGCGCATGGGGCTCCCTTCACGCCCCTCTCTGGGCCCCTGCAGGCCCCCACCTCTGCTGCTGGCTCTCTGCCTAGCACGGACAGGAGAGCAATGTCCCCCCAGGCCCGTGGGGCTCTGGCCACTGTGCTGGTGTGGAGACGCGCACCCCCCAATCCCCTGTGGTCTGGCCAGGCCCTGCCTGACCTGGTCTTAGGCTTCTGACCTACACACCAACCGTTGGGGACCCTGAAAGCGGGCGTTCTGGCCCAAGTCTAGGGTGGGCATGGCTTCTGGGCTTAGAGCACCTCCTGCTCTAGATAACAAGGAGCAGAGGGGCCCAGCGTTAGCCTCCCACACAGCTGAGCCCTCCATGCAGGCTGCGGCCAACCTCAGCCAGGCAGTGGGCGGCAGCCGAGGCACAGGCTTGTTCCCCCTCCTTTTCTAGGAGCCCCCAGCTTCCCATGGCTCTGCACCCTCCCAAGTCCAGGTGGAGGGACCTCAGGCTCCCTCCACTGGCCTGTCCCCCTTGCAGCTGGCACCCCATGCCTGTGCTGAGCTGGGGTCAGGGGAGCACCTGTGGTAGTAGTGACCCCCCCTCCCAACTCTACCACATCAGTGTAACTTCCATGACCCCCTGAAGCTGAAGCTGCAGCAGCCCACCCTTGAGTCTGGGTATTAAGTCCTTCCTGGGTAATGCCTAGCTGACTGAAACACAGCTTGACTGACAAGGGTCAAGTTGTCCTTGACAAAACACTATTTGCCAGCTTGTCACAATCTGCCACAGAATGTGTCCTGCCCACCGGGGAGACCTCAAGGACCCAGGCCCGTAAGCTGGAAGCGCAGCCCAGGGGTCGGGAAATCCTGGAAGCAGAGTCTAAAGGAACCAACATGCAGAAGGCCCACACCTGGTTCACACACGGATGGCGGATGAACGGAGGCCGTGGGTGGACCAGATACTGCCTTACAAAGGAGCAGGAACCCCGAGTTTCCACAGCCTGGCAGAAACCTTGTCTTCCGCATCAACACACTTTCTCCTGTAAAGCTCCTGCAGGAAACACAGCTCAGGGACAGGAATTTGCTTTAAAAAAGCTATCAGATGTGAGCCGTCCCGTGATGGAGCATTTTTTTTTAAAAAAACTGTGCTTTAGGAGAAAAGTTTACAGCTCAAGTTAATTTCTCATTCAAAAACTTACACTGTTTTGTGACGTTGGTTGCAATCCCTACAATGTGACAGCACGCTCCTCCTTTCCACCCTGGGTTCCGTGTCCATTTGTCCCGTTCCTGTCCCTACCTTCTCATCCTGCCTTTGGATAGGAGCTGCCCATTTGGTCTCATTTATCTGACTGAACTAACCAGCACGCTCCTCACGTGTGATATTTTCTGTTTTATAGTCCAGTGTAATCTTTGTCTCAAGACTGGGCTTCGGGAATGGCTTCAGTTCTGGGTTAACAGAGTGTCCGGGGGGCCATAGTTTCGGGGGAGTGCTCTGTTTTTTAATCCTGTCCCCCCATACCAGAAGGAGGAGCCCCTTTCCCTACAGGGAAAAGGGGTGGGTAGGATGGGGCACCGTGGCTTCCCTCCAGAACAGCCTCAGCACATCAGACTGTGGAAAACTCAATGCAAGCAGCAATCCATTCCATTCAGATCAAGACCAATTTATTCTCGTTTTGCCGACACAGAAATAAATGCTTTTCTTGACAGCCTGCGGGGGCCGAGCCACGGGAGACCAAGAATGGCAGGCAGGAGGCGTGGGCAGCTCAGGTCCCCACTCAACAGCTGCTCCACAGAACAGCTGGCCCACTCCAGACGCCATACCGTCCCTGGGTCTGCCGTGTGGGCCCACTGCTGGCGCATCGCACCAGCACCCGAGGCCAGAGGACACGCAGCACAGGGGACGCCCTGATGTCCTGCTTGCCCCCTGCTGCACCCACACAACTTTCTGGGGTGAGGCTGTGAGGCAGAGCCTTCCCGCAGACTCCAGTCATCCGGAAAGCTGAGGCGGGGCTCCCAGCTACCCCACCCTCCCCACTGTACTGGCTGTCATCTTCCGGGCCTTCGACTTCTCGGATCAACAGTCCTGTCTGCCACCTCACAGCCTCGCTGGTCTCAACCCACTGCCCACCTTCCTCGTGCAGATGCTCCGGGGAGGCAGAGGGTGCTCTTCCACGTGCACGCCTGTTGCCTGCACCGACACGGTCTGCTCCACCAGGAGACAGTTCTGAAAACCTGGGGCCACCATTTCTTCCAGACTCTCAAGGTTGTCACAGAATTCAGGAATCCCCTAGGTTAGGTGATTGCGTCAGGCGGTGCTCAGCCTGCTCAGGTCCTCTCCCTGCCGCAGACGCTCTTCTGGGACAGTGCCCTGGTCCAGCGGTGCAGCAGTGAGGGGACACAGCTTCGTATTGCTACCTGACCCCTCAACACACTGGCTCAGTCACCTGCCTTTGCAATGAGCAGTGGGCTGAGATGGCACCCGTACTCACATGGGCACGTTCAGCTGCCACCACCCAGCCAAGAGCAGAGCGACTGCTACCCAAGATGTGAGCCAACGTCACCGGCCTACAGCAAGGCCCTCCCGTTCTCACCCGAGGCGGGCAGCTCCGCCTTCCCTCAGCCTCGCACTCCTGTGCACCTTCCCCTGGGCTTCCGGACACACCACAGAGGCGGCAAGCACACAGGCTCCCAGGACGCTGTCAGCGCTCCGCCCGGCCTAGCTGCGCCCCGTTCAAAGGGCCCGAAGGCAGACGCAGAGCCCATGAGTCTTCAGAGCGGAAGATGGTGGCTGGTGTCAGGGTGGGACTCACCCCTCTGGCAGGGTCCCCACGTGTGGACCAAAAAAGTCACTTCCAAGACCCCCAGTGCTTCCTGCTGAGACAGGAGGGAAGGGAAGCAGATCACAAGCCTCTCTCAAGGCCGAGCCTCACTTGGGCTAGAGGCTGAGGAAGGCAGAGCAGGAGGGTTTCTGGGGCTCAGAGACCCGGTTCAGGAGGGTTCCTCAGCCGCCCCGATGCAGGTTTGCTATCCTCGAGAGCGCCACTCGCCAGCTGGCGTTGCTGGGACAGTCAGCCTCATGAAAACGCAAAGACCCACCGGCCTCCGGGCCCTCAGAAAAGGGACCGCCCCACGCCGTCAGACTGAAGGGAGGGTCCACCCGTCCCCAGTGTCTGGGGTGGGGACGGCCAAGCAGCCCACAGCCCGTTTCCGTGCGGCCTTGGGCCCGGGACGCCGAGTGCTTCCAGTGCGCCGCTGGCGGTACAGACTCCTGCAGCTCGTATCTTAGAGGGCTGTTGAGGAGAAAAGAAGATTTTTGTTGTTACTTTAAAATTATCGCTCCCTGGTCCTTTCCTGCGTGTGAGCCGGCCCCGCTCCCAGGAGTGGGGTGCAGCAAACCGCCCCCCTGCCCCCCGGCTTCAGGAGCCCCACACCCACATGCAGCACGTGCCCCCTCCCTGCCCGGCACCGCCGCTGCGCCCCTAAGGTGCACCTCGCTGGCATTTCTGTGACAAAACAAAATGAACTGCCTCAGATGTTGCGGCCGGTCCTGGGAGGAGGGGAGGGACATGCACCATCCTGGCCGAGAGCCACGGATCACAGCTCGTTACTCTCCAACATCATCCAGAGAAAGAAAAAGGCACAAAATGCCTGTTTTCTGATTTAAAGTCCGTGAGGCTGGTACCCTGCCCGCAGTGGTCATGCCCCCACTTCAGAGACAGTCTTGCTCAGGGGTCACAGCTACAGAGACAAATCCAGGTTTGACCCCCCCCCAACACAGCACCTTTCCCCACTGCACTGGCCGCCACTAGTGGAGCAGACCAGCCAAGAACGTTCTCTGGCACCTGCCGGGACTGTCAGGCTAGAAACCATTCTTAGTGCTCACTGGTCGAACACTGAGCGTAGAAATAGCCACTTCCTCTTTGCCCCCGCCGTCACAGGCACAGCAGAGCCGCCACACCTGTGGTGCTGGCAGGTCCAGGGCAGCCGCTTACACCCCCTCCTCCGTGAGGGGCGCACCGGGACATAGGGGGCCGTCTCCCCTCTTACCGCGGTCGGTGGCTGGATGGTCTAGTCAGTCACTGCGGCCAGTGTCCACGTCGATTCTCAGGAACCGGCCATCACCTTCCTCCCTGTGTCAAATATCAACAACGGTCCTTGGCCCACAGAGTGACCAACGGGGGCTACAACAGTTACTGTCAGCTGGGAGCTGAGCCAAGCCCGGCAAACGCTTCTAGATGAGTCTGAAAACCTACCCCCGGTGAGTCTGGGCTCAGGGCTCTTGCACACACCAGAGCGCACGTGATGGCACCCACAAGAGAAACCACGTGCTCCCCCCAGAAACACCTCAGCCGCACGCCACGGAACTCCACGCTGCTCGTGTCTGAATGGAACCCCGCCCTCGCTGAACAAGTGTTTGCCCAACACCTTTCAGTTGTCAGAATTGGGGGCACATCCCGAAGAAGCCCACGGACATCTCAGCAGTCACGCCCCGTGGCCAGTCCTGGCCATAGGACAGGGCACAGCCGCGCCATCCATGGGCAGAGGACCTGTGCGCATGCTCGGCAGTACTGGGCACTCAACTGTCAATCATCGCGCAAGCGCTAACTGCCCACTGCGCGTCACCACAACAGACGCTGGTTTAGACCCGCTTTTCTACAAGTCAATGTAGCGGGGGGCTGCGCCTTTTCCACTCCGCCCTGCACCACTGGCCCACCTCCACCTCGTCCACCCAGACTGCGAACTAGGACAGCATGAACGTTTCCCACGAGCTGCACAGGGTGCCAGTGGGCAGGGTCAGCACACGCGCTGGCGTCAGTGTCAGACTATTAATCATTCAGGTTGTTCACGGCCGGAACACTGAGCGTAGACATAGCCTCTCTTCTCTCTGCCCCCTAATGACACAGGAGTGGCACAGCAGCCAGCCCTGCAACGCCTCTAGGGGCAGCGCACGTGGAAAATCAAGTTCAAGGTTTTAAGTCCCCCCTCCCCTGGCCCGAAGACTATGCTGCCAAAGTTAACTCGTGCTGGCAATCACTGCGAATGTCACCCAAAGGGTTACTTTTGGCTCCAGGAAGGAAACTGTTCCAGCACCAATGTGTCAACTCACCCAGGGCCCCAGCACCCTGTCCAGCTGCGTCGTTTCCAGCCGGCAAACTCCCGCGAGAAAAACGGAAACCCACGTTTTATACACGCCTCCGTGCGCATCCACAGAGGGACATCGGACACAGGACAGCGTTTGCTGCATTCGCTCTCTAGGAAAACAGACCAAATATGGGTCATGGCCACACTCCCAAGGATCATTCCAGAAAACCCCAAACCAGTTCCTGTCCTGCCCTTCCCATTCTCTGCTCACTTTGGTGTCTGTGCGTAGAAATGACAGGTTACAGTAACACAGTGACAGCTGTAGGCCACTGCAGACGTCTCAGGTGACCAAGAACCAGGCCTACAAGAGTGTAATGCCCATCCCCCTCAGAGCTGCGCAAAGGGGAAGGCGGCCATCGCTTCCCACCAAGCGAGGATCTCACTGAGCAGAATCAGTGACGCCTGCCTTGACATGGAAATCTCCCAACCTCTGGGCAGTGTGACTGTCAAGCCTTTTTGTTTTTTTAGAAATCACGACACCCAGCAATCCGCAGCGCCTTCCTCAGAGTCCCCAACAGTTGGTGAAGACCCCCACTGCAGGGAGCCACGTGGATGGAAGGGGGAGGAGGTTCTGTAACTTCTGATTCATTCCTCAGACTACTATTTCCCCCATACTGAAGCTTCCCGGCTGAAAAAACCTAAGAGCGTAAGGAGGTAAGGAAGCTGATGGGGTAGTTCCTTCATGACTCCTCACACTCCCAGTTCCTCAGTGGGAAGCTACCGCTCCTGCAGGGCCTCCATCTCCCGGTTGTTCGACTCACACCGAACGTGGCTGTAACTGCGAACCGGGAGGAACGGAAACACGAAGATGCCATCTTCCTCCGACTGCCCCCTCCCTATCAGCCCAGCAGGACTTGGGATCCCAGTCGGTAGGCGGACCAAACGGGTCGGACAGAGAGACCAAGGCACGTTCGGTTAGAGAGCCCCCCGGGGTCAGCGGCCGACAATGGCACTCACGTCGCCCCCGAGCTTTGCCCCACACGGAATAAAGCTGCGGGGTCTCCGGCGGGTCGCCCCGCCTTCCCGTGGCCCTTTTCTGATTGCAGGCAGGCAGGGAGGAGGTACCTTCGGGCGCTCAAACTCGGCGGCAGCCGCGTCTCCAGAGCTCGGGCATGCGACCGGCCAGGGGCCCACCACCCGGGGAGCGCAGCCAGGGGCCCCCTCGGGGGTCGTGCCGCCGAGAAGCCACGGGAGGATGCGGGGTCGAGCGGGGGGTCCTCGACCACACGGCCACCAGAAGCGCATTCGGTGGCGGGAGGCTCGTGAGGGGCCTGGGCGCCGCAGGGACGTGGCGGGGAGCCGGCTGCCGGTGCGCCAGTAGAAGCCGCCACACCGACGGCGAGGCCAGCGCCGCGCAGCGCCAAGCTCCCGGCCCCCTGCATCGTCCAGAGAGAACGCGCGATGAGGCGCCGCGCCTTTTATAGGTTGTACGGCGGCCCGCGAGGGCCAACCGTGCCGCCCCGCCCCGCCCCACAGCCGCTGTCGCCGCAGTGCCCCCTAGCGGAGGCTCCCGGTAGGGCCGCATGCCGGCTCACCGCAGATGAAGCAAGCAGCGATCGGGAGGATACATGGCAAGTTACGCAGAGATCTCCAAGGTCCCAGGAAACAGAAGCTGAAGAGACAGCGGCCTTCCCCCAGAGCTGACAGAGACAGAAAGCCTTCCCCTATAGCTGGTGCCCTGAATCAGAACTTCTAGCCTCTTAAACTGTGAGACAAACGAATCTGTCTTGGAAGAAGTACAGCCAGAATGCTCCTTAGAAGCAAGGATGGCGAGACTTCCTCTCACATACTTCGGACATGTTAACAGGAGGGACAAGTCCCTTCAGAAGGACATCATGCTTGGTAAAGTAGACGGTCAGTGAAAAAGAGGAAGACCCTCAGTGAGATGGACTGACACAGTGGCTGCAACGATGGGCTCAAGCACAGCAAGGCTTGTGAGGATGGTGCGGGACCGAGCAGTGTTTCCCTCTGTTGTACAGGGTCGCTATGGGTCGGAACCGACGAGGTGGCATCTAACAACAAATAACAACAACAATAAACTGTGAGAGAATGAATTTCTGTTTGTTAAAGTCATCGACTCGTGGTATTTGTTATAGCAGCACTGGAGAACTAAGACAGCCCCTGAGACCCACCTGAGGGTGCATGGGAGCAAGGGTAGGGGCTCAGCACCCAAGCAATAAGGTGGGTGCTGACCTCTACATGTGTCTGTGAGGGGGCTCAGGGGTTGGTCTAGCCCTTTTCTTTCCTTCCTTTTCCCCATCCTCCAGAACAAGCTCTAAATCCACCACGCTGCCCCACTCCCTGCGGCAGCCTCCTCCCTGCCTTGTGGTGCCGAGCTTGTGCTTGTTCTTTCCCATTTCCAGAATACGGGGTTGGCTCCCAGGGCCACCATGGGATCAGGGGGATGTTCTGGTTCTGGAATCCTGGGCGCAGGGGTCCTAAGGTGTGATGGCTCAGGCCTTTAGTCCCTGTCTTCCAGAGGTTTACAGTTCCCAGGAGAAAAGCCCTCTCTCCAAGCCTGGCGCCCACTCCTAGCTCAGCCCGGAGAGGGCACACGTGGGTGGTCAGCAGTCACTGGGGGGCAGTGGGGAGGTGCTGCTTCCAGGGCTGCCAGGCAGGTCAGGTGCACAGGCACTTCTCCCTCCTTGGGCACATGTTCAGGGCCAGAGGGCCTCAGGCCAGGGCTGGGGCGTTCTGCAGGGGCCCACCCCCAACCATGGCCTCCTGACTTCTCCCCTGGCCCTCTGTCACTTCTAGTCTCTGAGGTCACCTCCTCCACACAGTCCCTGCCCTGGGCTTGCAGAGCCTTATCATGGCTGGTCACCTGGGTGAGGGGTTGGGGCTGGGGGCCAGGAAATGCGCCCGGGGACCCCCGCCCACCTCCTCACTCCCGACCCCGGGGCTGCCTCCTGATGCCTTAAAAAAAAAAAGATCTCATTGCTGTTGAGCAACCCTATAGGACACGGTAGAACTGCTCCATAGGGTTTCCAAGAAGCAGCTGGTGGATTCGAACTGCAGATCTTTTGGTTAGCAGCCAAGTTCTTGACCACTGCACCACTAGGGCTCCCCTGACCCCTTGGACCCCCTCCTTCTCCATACCTGTGCCTTCTCCTGAGCTCTCTTACCTCATTCACGCTAAAGCTCCGCCTTCACCTGACCCGCGTCACCTCCCCTCTCTAACACAAGTGGGTGCCCTCCTGACCCTGCCCCATTCCTTGGTACCCACACCTGGGGTCCCCTGAACCCTTCCTTCTTACCCCTCCCACCTCCACATTGCTGAGATCTGGGCATCCTGGCCAGCCCACCTGCTCCCAATACCCGGGCTGCCACCAGGCCCCTCCCACCTCCTCATTCCTGAGAACTAGGCCTTCTGCTGATCCCACCCACCTCACACCGCCCATACGCCCATACGGAAACCTTCCCATCTCCTCACTTTCCAAGTTCAAGCGGGGTTGCCGCCTGTCTCCTCCCACCTTCTCATCGGCCACACCAGGGCTTTCACCTGCCCCTCTCACTTCTTCACTCCCATACATGACTAGCTCCTGAAGCCTCCCACCTCCTCACTCCCCCATACCGTGGTCACCTCCTGACCCCTCCAACCTCTTCATCACCCACACTTGACCTACCACCTCACCCTCCCACCTCTTCATCACCCACACTTGACCTACCACCTCACCCTCCCACCTCTTCACTTCTCGTACCTGGGCTGCCTCCTGACACCAACCATCTCCTCTATCCAACACCTGGGGTCTTCTTTGTCACCCCCACCTGCTTCCTCTTCAACCCTACCCATTCAACTGACCCCGCCCATCCTCTCACTCCCTACACCTGGGCTACCCTCAGCTCCCTCCCACTGACTCAGTACCTTCACATAGCTGTTCTCTTGACCCCTGCCTCCCCTTAACTTCTCATAACCAGGCTGGTACCTGAACTTTCCCAACTCCTCCTTGCCCACACCTGAGGCTTCTCCTAACTCCTTCCTCTTCCTCAGTTTCCACACCCAGGCTGAGTCCTGGCCCTTCCCACCTTCTCACTTCCCACATCTGGGCTGCGTCCTGACCCCTCCCACCTCAACGTCCCACCTGGGTTTCAACTGACCTCTCCCATCTCCTCACTCCCTAGACCTGTGCCTTCTACGGACTCACCTCCCATCTTACTCCTGACACCTTGGTGGCTTCCTGGTTGACACACCTGTGCACTCACTGACCCCTCCCACCTTATCATTACCACGCCTGTGTCTTCTTGTGGGCCCTTGCTCCTCCTCAGTCCTGCACCCTCCTCACCTACCATTACTAGGCCACCTCCTGACCCCTCCCACCTCTTCATTACCACACCCACCTGGTGGTGGTGTCCTGGCCCCTCTCTCTCACCCTCTCACTTCCCATACTGGGTCTGACCCCTCCCACCTCCTCACTCACTACCCCCGTGCTGATCAGAACACCTCCGGACTCCTTGTTACGCACATCTGTGAGTTCTCCAGGCCTCTCCCACCTCAGCTCCCATATCTTCTCTGCCTCTTGATCCCTCCCAACTCTGACTCCCCACACCTGGACTGTGTCCTCGCCCTTCCCACCTCCTCTTTCCCCATCCCTGGGATTTATCCTGCAGATGGGCACTCACCCAAATACCTGTCCATGAGTGCTCACAGCAGCGCTGTTCTTCCCATCAGTCAATAGGTGGAACCAACCGATATATCCATCAGTAGATAAATAGATGAACAAAGTGTGGTCCACCCACACCATGGGATATGTCATGGATTGAATTGTGTTTCCCAAAAATATGTCAGCTTGGCTAGACCGTGATTCCCAGTATTGTGTGATTGTCTGCCATTTTGTCATCTGATGTGATTTTCCTATGTGTTGTAAATCCTATCTCTATGATGTGAATGAGGTGGGATTAGCGGCAGTTACATTAATGAGGCAAGATTCAATCTACAAGATTAGGTTGTGTTTTAAGCCAATCTCTTCTGAGATATAAAAGAGAGAAAGGAGTGGAGAGGCATGGGGGCCTCATACCACCAAGAAACAAGAGCCAGGAGAATAGTGCGTTCTTTGGACCAGGGTCGCTGTGCTCAGAAGCTCTTTGACCAGGGAAGATTGGTGAAAAGGACCTTCCCCTAGATCCAACAGACAGAGAAAGGCTTCCCCTGAAGCTGGCACCCTAAATTTTGACTTCTAGCCTGCTATCCTTTGAGAGAATAAATTTCTCTTTGGTAAAGCCGTCCACTTGTGGTATTTCTGGTATAGTGGCACTAGATGACTGCGACAGGGTACCACAGAGCCTTAGAAGGAATTAGAAACTGACACATGCTACAATGTGGATGAACCTCAAACAATTCAGCTAAGTGGAAGAAGCAGGTACAAAAGGCACCTATTTCCGTTCAGATAAGAAATCCAGAGCAGGTAAATCCATAGGCACAGAAAGCCAGTCACTGATTGCCATGGGCACAGGGCAGGGGGCATAGGGAAGACTGCTTAATGGGTCCAGGGTTTCAGTTTGTGGTGATGACAATGTTCAGAAGTAGATATATACTGGTGATGGTTGAATAGGATTGTGAAAGTACATAAAGTCACTGTATCACACCCATCAGAATTTTAAAACAAAACTTTAATGAGAAATCTACCACTTATAATAGTATAAACTATAAAGTATAAAGTGATCTTGGAAAAATACCACAAATAACCCCCAGAAATACCCACTCAGGTGAGGTAAGAGAGGCTCTGGTTCTGGAGGCAACACTCCCTGAGTGGGGCTGAGGAGCTGCTGTGGAGGAGGTGCAGCAATTGGCTTGGCCTCTGGTACCTGGGCCACAGCTGGAGATGGAGGACCTGGGGTTACATGGAGCCCTCACGTTGGTGCAGGAGGAGGATCGACGTCAGCCAGTGGTCCGGGAGCTGGTTCTGAAGGAGGTCTGTGATAAGAATCTGACCCTCCAGTAGGCTCTTCGTCTGATACCTGGGCCACAGCTGGAGAT